GAGAAGGAGGCAGTTGTGAGCTGTTGGCAGCCAACATTCATTGGGTTTTGTCCATCTGTCTGAATAAGAAATCTGAACAGGGTACTATCAGCATCCAAGGGAGTCCACCACTTGTGCTATTCAGATCCTCTAGATTTTCACATTAAGTTCACTATATATAGGCATGGTCACAACTTCTGAGCAAACTTCCAAGAGGCAAGTTAGGGTGATGAACTATAGCCCCACCATGCAATAGCTCTTAAGGCCAATGACACATTATTTCCCTCCTCCACCACACATTCTAGATCCTCCTTGCCTCACACTTCTGTTATCTGATATCCCAGGCCCCCATCTCTGAGCCGTCTGAGCTCCCGGTTAGTGTACAATTATCAGGCCTGTTACCGTACCTGCTCTTTTACTGGGCAAGTTATAACTGGGCATGGGAGAATCAAGAGACAGCCCATTGGATTGTCTGAGTTCCAAACATATTCTTCTCTCTTGCATGATGTAGCAGTGATCCTACCTTTTCATGATTATCATAGTCAATAATCCCAGTATGATAGATCCTTTCAGTGCCTGCTGGGCTCCTAGCATAAGGAACCCAAAGTAAGTAGGTAGCAGCCACAGTTTTGGATTTATTGGGATTCTTATGGTGTCCCCTGGTAGAAACATGTCCTCTAGACCCACAGCATCTAATTTGGAGGAATGGGAAACACAAATTCCCCAAGTGGGTCATTTGCAATGATGGTGAGATGGGCCGGTCATACTTTTGCCCCTTGATTCTCTGACATGTATAATTTAGTCTATTTTGGACAGGGTATAATATGACGTCCCCTGGTCTTTTAAAAGTATACTACCCCTCACAGGGTGTCTTCTACCAGGAGCTGCCTCAACTGCACCTCCAAGAGACCTTCCCAAAGCTCTTTCAGGCCAGCAGCTGCTGAAAGTACAACACGTGATAGAACCACTGGATCCCATGGCCATGTGCCCATTGCCTAACTTCCTTGGCCATACAGCCGGCCGCTGAAAACCTGAGATCAGGGGCCAGCATGCTTGTGTTTGGGTGAGAGCCCTTTTCTGGATTGCAGACTCCTGACTTCTCATTGTGTTGTCACGTGGTGGAAAGAGAATGAGCTAGCTATCTGGCCTCTTCTCAGAAGAGCACTAATCTCATACATCAGGGCTCCACAATCATGGCTTAATTACCTCTCAAACATACCACCTCAAAATATCATCACATTGGAGATTAGATTTCAACATATGAATTTGGGAGGGACACAAACAGTCTGTAATAGTGATATTATGTGGGATTCCATTCATGGATCAGACACTCAATAATCCCTTGAATGGTACTGTTGGCTGAGGCACTATAGAAAGGCAAGTCCATATGTGGATCCTTGTCAATCCTAGTCAGGTGACACATTGCCTTTTCCCAGATGGAAGGAGTCCAACCAAATCAACTTGCCAACAAGCACCTGCTTGGGTTTCCTCAAATCGTGATACCTTCTTGAGACTCAGCATTGGTTTTTGTTATTAGTGGGGCAAGACATTCAGCAGCAGCAGTAGCTTTCGGCCTTGGTGAGGAAGCACATGTTTTTGGGCCCATGGTTAGCCACCATGGTTTCTCGGTTCATGAGCCCGTGGCATGAGCCATGGGGTGGTCAATGACAGAGGCTGATGGACATCAGTTGGCTGACCCATTCTGTCCACTGGTTGCTTAGTGCTTCTTCTGAAATTAAGGCTCTCTCGTGGGTATTAACACTCAATACAAGTATCAGATCCTGACATATTGTGGCCACTCCCACAGGTACTTTTTCAAGCCTTTCCCCCAGACCTCCTTGTCTTCGATGTTCCTTGGACCCCACCTCTCTCTCCACACAAAGTGGATAACCAGATGCATTGCCTGAAGCTCTGACTCCTGGGGGTTTTTCCATTCACCACTGGCTTCAGAGTCCCCCACAGGTGAGGCTATAGGGCAGTCACAGCTCATTTTTGACTTGAACTCACATATCAAGTCAACCCCTTACTGAGCTAAGTTCAGGCATTTTCCTCCTTGGTCTGACAATGAGAACTCCCTCATGAGGTCAAATGTGTGAACTGAGGGAGAGACGGCTACCCAATAGTGGAAAGTGGTATAGGTGTCTGAGCCTCCTGTTCATGCAATTTTCTTATGCCCTCTGGAACAGCTTAAGCCCAGTCTTGGATGTGCCACTTCCATTTTAGAATGAATTGCTTCTGGACTGCCCTAAACTTATGTCTTGGTTTAGTTCACAAGAATTCAGTATAATTTGCCATGATCCCTCTTGGTGTTTCAGGAGCCAAACTGGTAAATTGAATAGGTATGAGTGGGGACCACTACCCTTCTACCTTAAAGTCTTTTAGGGTGGTACTAATCTCTGCCGTTCCCCTTGGATACAATATTGGCTTTTATTTATTATCTTTCCTGAAGGGGGGACCTTCAGGAACTTCCATCCAGCCACTCTTACTGCCATAGGTATTACTGGTCAAAGAATCCACATGAGAGTTCTTCCAGCTAAGTATGGCCACTCCAATTATACATTTAGAAACCAGAGGACATGTGCCATTTGTCACTTGACCCATATATGCTCCTATCCTACCCTAACACAGTGGCCATAATATTTGGGGGTAGTTCTTGGGAATCAGCAACATTAGACCCCGTATCCAATTTCCCTTGGAAAAACGTATATATTATTGGCTTCCAACATATCTGTCTCTAGGAAAACCATTTTCTATTAGCATTCTCTAAAGAACCATGTGGTCAGCACCAGCCCCAGGCTGTCATTCCAACCTTGCTGCCCATTACAGTAATTCTGACTGCTTTGCTCATGACTGTTAAGTGCTGCCATCTGGCCTCAGGCAGTCATTGGCTGCAGCCACCCTGGGTGGGAATGGGGAGCATAACCTCCTGGCCTAAGGGGCTCTGGTTTAGTTGAGGACAATTTGCTGGAAAAAGGGGATGCTGTTAGCTGTAAAACCTCATAGGAATGGGGGAATGAAAACTCTGGCCAGATGAAGGATATGGGCAGGCATTCACAGCATCCATAGCATCCAAAACAATAACCTTGGCACTAGGATAACAACTGGATAAATATCCAGGCATCCCTTCCCTATACCTCTCCCTCCGGACAGAACTGTCAAGACATGCTCAGCAGACTTCAGTGTTAGTAGAGTGTTTATGACTTCCTAAAACATGTGACTGGAAAAGCCAACAGACCAGCATCAGGGAATTACATACAAATACAGGTTTGTTTGGTTTTTTAAAGAGAAAAGACAAATATAATGCTCAGATTGTGATTTACAAGGGCCAGCACCTATGGAAATTCTGTGCTTATCAGTACATTTGAAATCAACACACAGTCACAAGAGTCCCCTCTCTTTTTGTGGTAGAGGAAGCTGTGACTTGGCCAAACCCCTCAGTCAGTCTGACGTGGTTCAGAGCAGCTCATAAACCTAAGATTTTGAGGTCCAAATTATCCTCTATTTTACAACACTTGATTCTCAAAATTGACCTTCTAATGCTCTGTCTTTAAATGTAGGTATTGTTAAAACCTGATCTGATTGTTTAAATGCCCTACCTGTTACACCTGTGTATATGTGATTTTAAAAGCTGGGAATTTTTTCACTTTTCTTATCAAGATGGAATTACTTTCCTCTGGTGATCCATATTTTGATGAAATCAAATTCAAGTCACATGGTATGACAAGGGACTTTCATGCTTGTAGTTAAAACTTGGAAATGCTGGAATTTCTGGGAGAAATTGATGGTTCTGAGGCACTAAGCAGGATATTTGAAATGGAGGTTCGCGGTAGGCAGAACAGTGGCCGTGTCCGAATCACTGGAACCTGTGTATATGTGCCAGAGAGGAATTAAGGTTGCAGATTGAGTACAGGTTGCTAACCAGCTGCCCTTAAAACAGAATGTCTCCTGATTACCCAGGTGGGCTCAATGTAATCACAACAGTCTTTAAAAGTCAGTCTGAGGAAGGTGTGACTAGAGAAGAAAGATGTGGAGAGATACAATGTTGCTAAATTTGAAGATGGAAGAAGGGAGCCAAACCAAAGAATGTGGGTGCCCTGGAGAGGACTAGGAAAGTATTCTCCCCTGGAGCTTCCAGGAGAAACACCACCCAAGGAAATTTTAGCCCAAGTAAACTGTGTCAAACTTCTGACCTCCAGAACCGTAAGAAAACACTTTTTTTAACCTGCTAAATTTATGGTAATTTGTTATAGCAGCAAGAGGAAACTGATACAAGGTTGTTCTAGAAATCGGGAATACACTGTACCTATGCCTTTTGTTAATTCCTTTGGTCTAGAATAATTTTTTATTGCTTCCATGGGGGAGCCTAGACGTATTTGGTGGTGGCCGGATGGAGAAATAAAGAGGATGGAGCTCAGCGTGTAAGTTAGAATGGAGAGAGAGAGGAAAAAAATGAAAACACTTTGTGTAGACAGCAAAATGGAGGTATGAATCAAGTTCAAATGCAGGCTAACTTCCTCTGATCTGTCGATCCAAAATAAAAGTAACTTCCACTATTTCAACATTTTCCTTGTTCATTTTTCACAGAAATATCTTATGTGTTTTAAGGAATTTATGTGCCACGGGTTGTAACTTTTATAATCTGCAACGTCAGAAAATTCTCGAAACAAATTGTGGGGGCCTGGTCATGACAAGGGGACTATAACACGCAAGTTGAATTTTGTGGACCAACGACAATTTTGAAAAATATAAATATCTTTCTACTAATTAACATGTAAAGTGAGGGCCATTTGAGAAGAATGCATCATTTTTTGTGAAACTAGATTTCCCTACATAATTAGATCTTTTATTTAAAAATAGAAACAGCTATAGTCTAGAATTGCTTATTTTTGTGAATGCCACCAGAGGGCACCATAACCTTTGCAGAAGATAAAAGCTCAGCCGTCAAACACTTCCCAGGGAGTTTTTTCTTTGAGGAAGAAAAATTGCAGGGCAGAAAATGAACACCACCAGCACATTTCCAATATTTTCCATGTCATTTTACTAGATATATTCTCTCTTGTTTTTAATTTTTTTCTTACAAGTCAATCTTGAAAACATACAGCAAAAAAAAATGAGCCTCTTTTTTCAGTTTAGTCAAAGAAGGTAGGTAACAGATAATGAAAGAACGATGAAATTGAAGGTATCATTTCCACATTAACATCTTGCCCCAAACACCATGCAGTGCTAAAAGTCACATCCCCATCATGCAAGGACATTAAAATGTGCGGTGATTTAAAATCTGGTTTTTATTATGGGATGCTAAACATCTCCATTGGGCATGCTTCCCCTTTGGACTAAAGGTAAAAAAAATATCAATACAGAGCAAGTTAAGTCTCCTCATAAAGAGAAATGGAAGAAGTATTTTTTTTAATGTAGAATCCATTTTAATGTTTTCTGTGTGATCTGTGGTGTATGGGAAAGAGTAAAGATGTGCAGAAGAGGCAAGGAAATTGCTTCCTGCTCACAACATAACCACGTAGCAGTTCAATATCTTGTTCGCTGAGATGGGTGCTTTTCCCTCCCCAAGCCATTTCATAGGGGTTGTTAAAATCTAGTTTCAGGGACTTTTCTTTTTAATTGAAAATTACAAAACCCTAGGCTGGGAAGTCACCTCATGTTTCTAGGACTCGCTTTTTTTGCAAGATAAGTATACAAAAAATTAGAAGGGAGATAAACTGGAAAATCCCAATCAGATATCATATTCTGTTAAACTGAAGAAGAGATGCACCCTAAAACTTCATTTGAATATGGTGGCTCTTCAATGAGTAGTGACTGTTGGATGGGCATCGTCTGTACCTAAATTACTAAATCTTCTGTGTGACTATATCAAAATACCAACTTTCAATGTCACTTCTCTTCAAAAGACTTAAAAGTATATTTCTCTTTATGTTTCATCTCTATGATATTGTCTGTGATTTAAAGGCTATCTGAGGAAATTATTATATGAGAAGAAATTGAATGGAAGTTAAAAGCCTAACCCCTAGTCACTAAGCTCTGTCTGACATCTCCTGACACATTTTGAAAGGAAAACAAAATAAAGGCACTCCATTTCTTTAAATATCTCTCTTTCGTCCAAGGATCTCACAGCGCCTAACAAGCAGTGTGCTTTACAGAAGGAAGGAAAGAAAACATAGAATTGATTAGGTTAGACTCCAACTCACAGTCAGCCCAGCCGCAGGTCACTGCAGGAGGGACAGTAACCTCTCAGGCCATGAGGAAGACCGTGCTCAAGGAAAAGAGGCCCCTCAGGTTTCCAATGGATGACTTCACAAAAGCCACATGGCGTGTGCCCATTTCAGTGCAAAGGCATGCACACACCAAGTCAAACTGCTGGGTCCCAACAGCCACTGTGCAAGGTAAAGGGAGAGGGAAGAGCAAGACTTGGATTCAAGTCCTGGCTGCACCACTTAGGGCTCTCCCCAGGCACCTTGCTTCTCGGAGCTTGTTTCTTCCCTGCTCAAAAGGAGTAAGGATAATCCGCAATCATCCCACACAGACCACTGGGGAGTTGGAGGTGGGAGCCTGAAGCACACCGATTTGCAAACTGGAAAGTGCTATGTAAATATAAGGCATTGGTTTCACATTGAAATCTGATTCCCAAAACAATCTCTTTCTTAGGCTTCCTGGAGTCTTTGTAATAGTAGGCGTTAGATTCTTTCTAGGCCTTTGATGCAATGCTGGGATTCAGGCGGAGCTAAGAATTCTTAAAGGCAACAGATACTCTTCAAGTGCCGGACACAATTCAGCATGTACTGCAATGTACCAGCCGGTGAGGGTATGATACCACGCACCAGTCTGGGTCTACAGGCTAGCAATAGGGAGAAGCAGGCCTCCCCAAAACCCCAAAGAAGAGTCTAATTGGGATCTGAATCCACAGCAGGTTTGGACCTGGCTGTGCTCAGAGATTCTCCACTTCCTTCCTGAGTGGCCGCGGTTCTGTGTCATTCCACAGCCGCCAGATCCTGTGCTTACAGCAGCGGGCATAGAAGACTGTGAAACCTCCCCAAGACTATTTCAGAGATGGCCCAATCCCCAGAAATAAATTAGAACTAATCCAGTTTTCTCAATCTCCTTTGGGGCAGAAAAATGGCTTGAGGCCAAGAGAGACTGAGCATCACGGAAACTGTCTCCCACTCTTCCCTCACCCACCTCTTACAGTGAAGGTGGGAAAACATCATAGAGAGCGAAAGCGTTTCCAGAGGGGAAACACTAACGAGCCGGCAAGCGTGCTCTAGAAGAGCAGGGCACAAAATCACACGCAGTTCAGTTTAACTTTCATTTCTGGAGCTTCGGCAAAGTAACTGCTTTAGCTAACAAAGCAAAAACTTCTAGACTAACTTCTCTGAACAATAACTGAAAGGCTTGAGTAAATAATCTCATGGACCCATTTTGCCTTTACATTTGAGTGGTACTAAAGGATTTTACTCTAAAAGCTCAGTGAAATAGGGACTAATGAAAAGCCAAAGTAAAGCACTAAAATGTATTTGCAAGCCCTGGTCAAAAGCTTTTGGAGTGCTTCAATTTAGGAAAAGCTGCTTCGGAGTTTGTAGGTTGGTGTTGCAAACCAGAGGAAGGTGGAAGAACGTTTTACGTCGTGCTATTATTTGTTCCATTGTTACTCCTCCTTCCGTCAACACTTTGTTTACATTCGAATCCCAAACAATCAACGCTCTGATAGAGGCCAATTTCAGAAAGAATCAATGATAATTTCCAGAGTAAAGAGATTAAAGCATTGGCCTCTCAAACCAGAAGCTTCAGGGTCCACGCTGAGGACCTGAGTGGTTCCTTCTCTCCGGTGCAGAGTCAACAGGAAACTCACCAAGGTTCAGGTCCCCTTTGCTTCACGCTCTGTGGCCTCACCCGGCACATTCCACTTAGTGCAGGAACACACAACTGTTTGCTGGGCCACACTGGCTGACATGGCCTCTTATCTTACAGAAGCTTCTAGTACTACAACTTGCTTCCTGTTTTTCTTTTTCTCAATGCTGAGGTTGTTTTTTGTTGACAACGTTTTAGGACTTCTTAATAAAGGTTGGGAAAATACTCAACAACTATTTCCATTTAGTTTGCAGATAAAATTCAGGGGGTTCTTTCCATTTGAATGTCAAGCCACACACTTTGATGCTATAAAGCAAACTGTGTCAATTTGCTAGAGGTCAAGCCAAAATGGGTTTTTGATGGGTTGTGGTTATTCTCGTGGTGAGAAATATTCACAGTGATAAGCAAGTGAAGTCTTTCATATTGTTTCTCTAATAAAATTAGTTCTTTTTAACAACAAACCCTTGAATTTCTATTAGTCTTTAGTCAAAAGACTACATTAGTTGTGCTTCATTTGGTTTGAATTTGTGGGCATAAATGGTATAGAGCTTAAAGTTTATTTACTAGAAGGGATAACCTGAAAAAGTCTTTTTCTGGTTAAGAGAGTGACTTACGACAGACAGAGAAGTCTACACACTCTGGGTTGAGAGAAGAAAGAGAGAAGAGGGAGAAAGAGAGAGAAGCCAGAAAATGAAAGATTGTCAATGCATGCCCCACATTCATCCCACAAGATTTCCTGAGCATTCCTCATACATCATAGTGCAACAGAACTCCAACGAATCAATAGTATTCCTATTATTCTCAAGCAAAAAGTATATACTTTGAAATGTACACTGAGAAAAACATATAATAGTATATCATCTTTTAAAACACTAGCAATTTGAACATCTATAAATAGACTTAAATAACAAACATTTTATATACAGCTATTCACATAGGACACAAATAACACATAGACATACAAAAATAAAACAGTCATGTTTTAACTCTTTTGTCATTTTTGTTGGGGGCTTTTTTGGAGTAAAGATATTTAAACAATTCAGACACCAGAATCATCTTGTCAATCATCTTGATCCCAGGAAACCTGGATATAAATTTATACTGTGCATAGGCACCACACCCAAATCCAAAGGCAGCAAACCTTCTTTGCTGGACTCATTACTATCTCCTACAGAAAAGCTAGGAGGAAGTAGAGGTTCCCAAGTGTAATGAGATAATTTTCTTTAGCTGTTCTACGGAAAGAAATTAATCAGACCTTTCCCCCAACCTGAGTAAAGCGTGACAATATCAAGCTGTCCTTTGAGTGAGTGGAACATAGAACACGTCTCCTCCTTGGGCTCTCCCACATGCTCCTCGCTATGAAGTATTTCTCAACATGGGGAAAAGGCACCACCATTCTGGACCAAAGGCAAGGGATTTGGGTCCCATAATACCACATTTGTCCTGCTCCAGTTGATGCTACAGAAACCATTCCTCCACCCAAAACATGATTTGGAGAACTCAGCTACCCAACCAGGTGGAATTGGACATTCTTCTTTAGGAAAACAGACTATTTCTATGTACAGATGTCCCTGGTCAAAAGTGATCTTTTGTCCATGGAATATTCTATTTCTCTTGAGAGCAAGAAACAGAAGATGCCTGTCTCACATGCCACCTAGAGCCTAGCATAACCAAGAGCTCCCAGCAGGCACACAAAAACTGTTCAACTGGTCTCAACCACTCCAATCTCAGCGGCAGTTCTACAACTGAAACAAGAAGTTCTGCCGCTGTGGAAGTTGGTCCTCACCTAAGATGCATCTTTAGAGGGGGAACTGATGCTTGAGGAGGAACTGGGTTTCAGTTTTCCTTTACAAGGAAAAATAGAAGCTCTTGCAACATCTTGAAGAGTTGCTTGGTGTAAGATATAAGAGGAGAGAATCCTGGCTTGTCAAATAGAATGTTCAACACGGGCAGAGGAAGGTGGCTTCTCAAGTCCCTCGGGGGTGCCTTCAGGGGCAGACATAGGTGTCCGCTGCTGATAGATGTCCTGGATCAGTAGGGTGTTCATGACCTTCCATTCCCTGTATTTTCTGGCTGTCAGCTTTGGATCATCCAGCAACTGGTTAATCATGGCCAGGTCATGTTCTTTACACTGTCCAAGTAGAAAAAAAAAATGAGAGAATTGGATATAGTGAGTATCTTAATTTTGATAAACCATCTTCAGCCCTTTTAAAAATAAATGCACATATACATTGATCATAAAATTATCAAAGTGTTTTTACATATTAATATTCTAATTCCTACACCAGTCCTAAGAGATACGCAGGACATCTGTTTCTATGTTCTAGCCAAACAGAAGTTAAGTATCCTACCCAAGAGTTAGTGGAAGAACTAGACAGATAGGCAAGGTCTCCTATGTTGCTCTTCCCTGATCAATCCATTATTCTACACCATGGTACTATTTCCATCTCAGTGTGGGCATTATTCCTCTTATAACTGTGTAATTACAATTGGACCATCCAAACTTGACTAAGTAAAATTGGGACATAGTACTTTACCTAAGACATAAGGTAATACAAAAATATTTTTTTATGTTTTATTCATTAAATTATCTTAATTTTCAAATAAATCACACCTGTTTATTCCATGAATGTACGCACAATAAATATACAGGCTATCTTTTTGTTCAAAGAAGAGATTACTGACCTTCCATCAAAACAGTATGTATTCCAAAGATATGTATTCCAAAGATGCTAATAGATCAACAATCTACTCATATTATTGACCCTGCCTCCTCTATAACCACTGATACGCATTTCTGAAATGTCTGGCTCAGGTTGGGGGAATTTTCTGTAGTCGAGGAATGAGATGCATCAGCATTCAAAAAAATCACTCAGCCCAGACAATTTTATCTCAGATCTACTCCTGTTTCCTCCATGCCTATGACCATAATCCTAATTTTGGATATAAAGTCCAATATATCACATCTGCTTTTACAGCTTCCTAAGTGAGGTCCCTGACTCTAATCGCCACTGTAAACCCACCCTCCACATGGCCATGCAGGAGATCCACCTGAAATGCTGAGTTCTCTTAATGGTTTCCCCTTCACGTCCAGGGTTCCATGGACTCAAGCTCCATTTACTGATCCTCCACTTCCTTCTTACTTTCCACTCTAATAGTGTTGACGTGAATTTTCTCCCCCACTCAATGCTGGCTCACAGCGCCATGATGTTCTGCCACATGGAGAACATTTCTTATCTTTCTTCACCCGATGAACACTAATTCCTAGAATTGCTTTCACCTGGAACAATTTCCAATTTTTCTTTACTGGATTTTACTATAACTTATGAATCTATACTCAATTCAGGCATGATATTCTCCAGAAAGTCTTTTCTGAACCCCTAAATAGGACTGAGAAGCTGTTTTTTATGTTCTCATGCATTCTAATACTTAGAGCCTTCTTAGAACCTACCATATTATACTGAGATGTTTGTGGATCTGTCATGCCACCTATTCTAAAGCTTCTTAAGGAAGGAGACAGGAAACATGTTATTCATTCCCTGTATTCCCTGTATATAACACAATGCCAAGGGCCAGGCAGACACTCAATACATGTTCATTATTGAACCAATCTCTCTGCCTACCCCAGGACAGCCTGGGCATAGCTAGGACTTCACAACCGTGCTCACTGGTTGCAGTTCAACGTCATGAGCACTGCCATTAATGGACTTTCACTACTATCCAGTAATCATATTTTCTTGACCCTTTTCTCTCCCACTCTCCCAAATGACTATTGCAAAACTTCCCATCTCTCCTCAAACCTCCTCCCCTATCCTCATTTGCAGCTGATGAGAAATTTTTGAGAAAATGCTAACAATCAGAAAAGTACTTCTCCCAGGTTCCTACTGCCCACTACCTATATCAGCACAAATATTTGCTGCCTTCCTTGATGTGCATTTGGATGAAATATCCGTGCTTCCAGCAAAGGCCAATCTCTCCACTTGTGCACTATTGCCCCCTCTCAAACTCAAGGAACTCACTCCAGCAATCCTTCCCCCTTTCCTGTGACTCATCGATTTCCCCTCTCTGTGTAATCATTCTCACTGGCATCCATGCATGTTCTTATTTTAAAAGCTCTCTCGACCCCACATCCCTGTTCCAGCTAATGCTCCACTTTTCTCCTTGTCTCTAATGTCCCTGTGCCCATTCTTTTAACACACCCACTCTCATCAGGCTTCTTCCCCACTGTCCCACCAAAACTCTTCTTGTTAAGGCCATCAACGACCTCCGCGTTGCTAACTCCAATAATCAGTTAGTCCTCTTTAACTTCTTTACGAAAAGCATCTAATTTTGACTACTCTTTCTTCAAATACTTTCATCATGTTGCTTTTGTGACACATTCTCCCCATTTTTCTCGTCCCACAATAGCTGCTTATTCTCAGTCTCCTTTGCTGGTTCACCTTGTCTCCCAATCTTTGAACATTGGGGCACCCCGGGGATTCAGCTTTTAGCCTCTCCGCTGTTCTGTCTACATTCATGCTCTTGGTAATCTCATGCAATCTCTCCCATTCTCCCTGTATACTGAGGGTCCCAAATTTATCTTGCCAGACTTACCTCTCCCCTGAACTCCATACTTGTCTGTCTAAACTTCCTCTTCAGCAGCTCCACCTGGACACCTCATAGGCATCTCAAATGTAACATGTCCAAAACTAAGTTCCCGTTATTCTCAACACCCACACACCCCACCAACTCTCAATACACCCTGAAACCTGCTCTCACCATAGCCTTCTGCAAAGCACTTGTTGGCAACTCCATCTTTCCAGTTGTTCAAGCCAAACATTGGAGTTATCCTTGACTCCTCCTCTCACTCCCAATCTACCAGCAAACTCTGATGGTTCTCCCTTCAAAATGCATCAAACTATGGCACACCACTGTTCAGAACTGTCCAAAGTCTTCCTGACTCACTCTGAGTAGAATCTGAGGGATTTGCAATGGCAGTAAGGCACTACAGGATATGATCCCCCAGTGTCTCTCTCACCCACTGCTGCTGGCCCTGTCCCCCACCCACTACTACACTCCAGCCACACACTGACCTCCTTGCTCTTCCTTAAACTTGCTAGGCATACTCCCACCCCAAGGGATTTGCATTTTTGTTCCTTTTGCCTGGAACTTTCTGTCTTAGATAGCCTCCCTTTTTCAGATTTTACTCAAATTCCATCTTTCAAAGAGGCTTTTCATGTCTATCCTAGTTAAAAATCAATCCCTCAACATTCTTTAGTCCCCTTCTCTTCTATTCCCTATCAAATCTATCATCACTTGGCATACTATAAAATTTATTTATCTTGTTTATTTCTTCCTCTACCTTAAAGGTAAGCTTCATGAGGGCAGGCATTTTTGTCTGGTATGTCCACTGCTATAACCCTAAGTGCCTGAAAGAATGGCTGACACACAGTGAACATTCACTAAATACTTGTTGAAAAACGAATATATGAAATAAGAAATGAATGAATGAATCAATTTGCTTTTTAATCTTTTTTGCATCATGAACCCCATGTAGAATCTGAGGAAATCCTCTCCATAAACAAACACACAAGAATGTTATACATATATACATGCACAGCCATGTACCGCATAACGATGTTTTGATCAACAACAGATCGCATATATGACAGTGGTCCCATAAGATTAGTACCATATAGCCTAGGTGCGTAGTAGGCTACCCCAACTAGGTTTATGTAAGTACACTCTATGTTGTTCAAACAACACTGAAATTGCCTAATGATACATTGCTCAGAATTGTCCCTGTTGTTAGGCAATGCATGACTGTATATGTTTTATCCAAATGAGGTATCTGGTCATAGATGATTACAAACATTAGTGGCACACAAATGTGCTATTTGTTCTCTACAATTAGCTTTAACTTATGTTTTGTTTGGGTTGTGTTATTGCATTTTCTTTTTTCTTCTTTCCCTGTTTCTAAATTGGTCAGAATAATATGGATTTCAGGGGAAATGTACCACACATATAGTAGTCTGAGTGGTGAGATTTATAATTATGAATCAAGAGAGCAAGGATGTGGTGATAGATGGAAGTCACAAGGTATGTTTGCGTTTCAGGAAGGGGAGAAAAATTGTGCAGTAGGAAAGTAACCAAAGAGCAATAAGAAGCAGTTGACCAGGATCCAGAAGCAGAGGAAAGGAAGGTTAAGTAAGTGGGTCACTAGCAAGGATTGCTGGTAGAAAGCCCAGCACAGCCAAGAGAGTTTTCTTTCTTCTCTCCGAGTTCTCAACATCAACGCTTCAGAAAACAATCTTTCCCCAAAACACAATATGCTTTCATCCTCTGATATCACCACAGTGCCATTCATATGAAGTTATTTAAGGAGTTCTACTTTGTTCTTAAGAAATGTTGACATCAGCTTCAGAGGGAGATCCTAATATTTTTTGAAAATATAAAATAAGATCTTTGCAGATTAATAAAATTTAGAGAACTGATTTTTGTAAAGGCAACAATGAATTAGCCACCCTCTAAATCTGATAAAATCTTTTAGGAAAGGGTCTCTTCCACTCTGCACTAACACTTCACATATGGTTTTTAGCTCTAAACAACTCAAATTTATTACTCTTTGGCTCAAGTCTCTGCTAGCTCTTTTACAGATTAAAAAAAAAAAAAAAAAAAAAAAAACCTGTAGACAAGAATAAAGAGGAAGGAAATTAATGAATCAACAGAACTTTCTGAGCTCCTTCCTAAACCCGGCACCCCAGGGGTCAGCAGCATCCCACAATGGCCCCGCTTCTCCCCACTGGAGCCTCCTAAAAGGCTCACCAAATGCTTTGAACTACTTTTACAAGATTCTCCTTGTTTTCTGGCAAGCAGGCAGGATTTGGTAGGGTTTCCAAAAATACCGTGAAACAGTGAATGGTGTACTTTCATTTTTCACTCCAAATATTCAGTACATGGTTTGACTCAAGACTTAAGCACTGGAAACACGTTCTGTCAGAGCACTTAAGGGGAAAGAGGGGTTTGTTCCTCTTTTGACACAGGCCAGAATAACCCTGGGAGAAAATTGCAGTTGGACCCAGTAATCATTCATTTAATGAAGACAAGCTTAGCCAAAACTCAGGGGATGTTGAGCTATCAGAAATTCCTAAAAATCTACATTTAGTGAATGACATGATAGTCTGCTCCACCTCCCAGAAGGATTTCTGTAAAGAGCACTCATTCCAATACAATCCCAGTGCAAGGATTCTTCTTTATTTATGGATTGTGCCTATCACAAATATAAACATTGTTACAACAGTTTCCTTATTTCTGCATGAAACTCTATCGTCTTTGCTTGTCCACACTCCAGCTTTGAAGTATTTTTAAAATAAAAATTTATATTGCAATATACTATACATAGAGAAAAGCCCACATATAATCAGGTTTGTGCTTGATGAGTTATCACAAGATGGATACATCTGTGTAACCATCACGGAGGTCAAAAAAGAACCCTTACTTGGCTCCTCAGAAGCTGTACTATGGTCTCTCCCAGTCGTATCCTCCCCTCCTCCTTAAAGGCAACCACTAGGCTGACTGCTTTGAATTTTAAAGATAGCTAAAATAAAATTAAAGATAGTTAAAATAGGGGCCAGCTCCATGGCCAAGCGGTTAAGTTTGCGCGCTCCGCTGCGGCGGCCCAGGGTTCTGATCCTGGGCGCGGACATGGCACCACTCGTCAGGCCACGTTGAGGCAGCGTCCCACATCCCATAACTAGCAGGACCAGCAACTAAGATGTACAACTGTGTACCGGGGGGGGGGGGGGAGATAAAGTAGAAAAGAAAAAGAAAAAAAAAAGATTGGCAACAGTTGTTAGCCCAGGTGCCAATCTTTAAAAAAAAAAAGAAAAGATAGTTAAAATAAAATAACTCTTACAGCATTTTGACTGAATAAACATACATGAGTCAAATCATCTCTCTCCAATGGATAGGTTGATGTGATTTTTTTCTTTTTTTTAAGAAGGCCAATTTCCACATCATCATGGCATCCTACCTCCTGATGAGGTTCATAGGACCGCATAACATAGGTTACATTTCACTCACCCCAGCATTACACTTTTGTGAGGCCCGAGGAATCTGTGGAAAGAGCTTCCTTCTGGGAATATACAGAAAGAGCAGTTCTTCAGCTGGGTGTGGTAGACAGCCCTGAGGGGGCCCCAATGTTCCTGCTCCCTGGTACTCATGCCCTTGTGCAATTCCCCTCCTTGAATGTAGGCTGACCTAGTGACTTGCTTCTAATGGATAGAGTACTATAATGTAACATGGTATCACTGCTGAGATTAGGGCATGATCCATCTTGCTCACTCACTCTTGATGTCTTACTTGCCAGCTTACATTTTGGGAGCCACCCTATGAAGAGGATCACAGGGCAAAGAACTGGGGGTGGCCTCCAGCCAACAGACAGGGAACAACTGAGGCCCTCAGTCCAACGACCTGTGAGGACCTGAATCCTGCCAACAACCAGATGAGCAAGCTTGGAAGCATCCTCCTCCAGTGGAGGGATGAAATGCAGCCCCAGCTGACGCCTGGGTTGCAGCCCTGTGAGAGACCTGGAGGCAGAAGTATCTAACCAAGCCATGCCCAGATTCCTGACCCACAGAAACTGTGAAATAATAAGTTTTTATTGTTTGTAGTTGCTAAATTTGGGGGGTATTTTGTTGCCTACCAATAGATAACTAACACAAGGGAGAAAAGAAAAAGAGGCTGAATTCATCAATTCCATGGCCATAGCTCATGGATAAAGCAGTCATGGAGAACCATATGGGCTGATAAAACCTTCGAATTCTTTGTACAAACCTGGCCTTCCAGTGGCCAGGTCAGGGCGTGGTCCTGTGGAGGTGTAGAGGTCTAAGATTGCTGCTCTGTAGAAATCTGAAACCACAGTCCTTCACTTTCTAGAAATGGCCTGAACTGCCCATCCTCTCCCCAGCCTCTATTTGCTGTTTCTCCCAACATGGACTGCAACATCTCATCCACTGATATACATTTGCCTAGGCCAGTTTCTCCTCCTTGAATGCTCTTCCCTTCTGTTCCTAATATTCTTTATCTCTTACCCATGACAACTTACAGTTGTCAGCACCTCCATGACATTGTCCCTAATGGCCTCAGATAAGCAGCCACTCCCTCCTCTGGGTTACCAAAGCACTCCAAGCTTGTATCAACTACAGTACTAACTGTTCCTCTCTGTTTCCATTGTCCGGTGGGGTCCACTCAATGGTCCCAGTGCCCTAGAACAGTGCCTGGCACACAGCAAGGTTCGGGAAATAATTGTTCAATGAAAAATGTATTCACTTGGATCAGTTATAAGACAGCAAAATTCCAACATACTATGGCATATTGCATTCGATGACCAAACATATTTACCAACCCTATACATACTGTGGAATGTAACATATTTGCCTTTGAAATGAATGCTAGTGATATCTTTCATCATTAAATATTAGGGAATTTCTCTTCCTTTTATTTTCTTTGTATAATTAAAACACACCTTTGTCTGTTATTTTTCGGCCTCATTTTTGCGGCCTTTTGGGGTGCTTGGGTCTTCTATTGACTAACGGGGACACCTGATGAAGAGTCACCCAGCCATCTCTTTGTAGCTTTGTCCTTTGATTGCTGATATTTTTTTTCCTGGAAAGGGACTCAAATTCTTGATGCAAAAGGACATGTACAAAACAGAATTAAATTGCAGGATCTATCAAGGCTTTTCAGAATCTATAAATCTAATTCAAGGCTAATTGTAATTCAGGCTAAGTCAAGACAATTTTACAATGTATCCTGGTATCCTCCTGTTCATACTATTATCTAAATGTGAAAGCAAGATGCTTTTGTTAGGAAGAACCATTTTAGTTACAGGAGGCCCTGAAAATAATTTCAGTATGTCCTGTACACTGTCCCTCATTTCCATTGTGAAATCATTGCTGGTCTATTATGATGAAGTGTATATTTCCCACTGCCTTGTTTTCACGGTGTTTCTTGGCTCCAGAGCATACAGCTCAGAGTCACTAAGTCTTTGCTGTATCTGAAATCTAGAAATGTTCTTCTGGATGTAATACAGAAGAAGCCACCCTTAATAAGGCAGGAGAAATCTCAAGATCTTATTAACATTACTGTTTATTCTCACGAGTTGACCATCTTAAGCTCTCATCAACGTTTACTGTGCTAGGTAAAAGGATTAAAAAATCAAATTACACACAGTCTTTTTAGGAGCTTAACATCTGAAATTTTATCCCAGAGTGAATGTAAAAATCAAGGCCTACTGTAGAAAACTGTGTTGGATGCTATCGCATGAATGTTCCAGTGCTTTAAGAATGCAGGGGTCATCCCATCCCATAGAGATTATATTTGCTGTTTCTGCCCTCCCCTCCACCCATCTGTGCTTAACATGAATCTCTCTGCAGAACCAGCCATTCCTCGCCATGCATCCACAGAGTTCATCCACAAGCTGAAATAATTTACCTTTAATGTGCTATTCAAGGTTCGGATTTTGTGGAGTTTCTCATTTATGGATGGATTTTTGCACCGCTTGACAAAGGACTTTCTCAACTCTTTTTTGGTGGAAGGTCGACGGTCCCCAAGAGGAGAGAGACTAGCTTGCTCTAGTGATTTGTAGAGCTTCTCCATTTCATCATCTTCAGACACTTTTGTTTCTTCTGCCAAAATGAAAAAAAAAAGCAATAACAATAAATCCAGTTAAAATCAAGAAGAGAACATTGAACCCTGTGGTGCTAAAAGAAGGCCCTGCTGACACCTTGATCTCAGACTTCCAGCCTCCAGAATTGTGAGACAATCAATATTTGTTGTCTAAGCCACTGAGTTGATGATGCTTTGTTGTGACAGAGCCACGTTCCCTTCGAAGACCCTAGGGAAGGGTCTGTTTCAGCCCTCTCTCCTGGCTTCTGGTGGTTCCTTGGCTTGTGGCAGCATAATTCCCATCTTCACATACTGTTTTCCCTGTGTACATGTCTCTGTATCCAAATGTCTCTCTTTATAAGGACACCAGTTACATATTGGATTAGGGCTCAGCTTACTGTCCTCATCTTAACTAATTACATCTGCAACAACGCCCTTTCTAATAAGGCCACATTCTAAGGTACTGGCGGTTAGGATCTCAGCATAGGAATTTTGGAGGGACACAACTGAACCCATAATAGTCTACCATCTAGGACCCCAAAATTCATGTCCTTCTTACATGCAGAATACATTCAGCCTATCCCAACATCTCCAAAACTCTTAACGCATTCCAACACCAACTCTAAGTCCAAAATCTAGTCCAAATATTCATCTAAATCTGTTATTGGTAAGACTCAGGGAATGAGTCATCCTGTGGCAAAATTCCTCTCCATCTGTGAACCTGTGAAACCAAACAAGTTATCTGCTTCTAAAATACAATGGTGAGAAAGGCAATCCCTAGCAAACTAATACACACCCTAAAGATCAAAAAAGTTGCTCCAGATGGCTTTCTAATGTCCTTCCTAGAACTGCCCTTTGAGAGAAGGACTCTGCCTGTGGTCTGTGGCTTTGAGCAGATAATGATCACTATTCACGCTGTCACACACCTCCACTCCCCTTCTTAACTGTGCCTTGCCAGCTTCAGCCCCAGTGCTCCTAGTGAAGCACTCCACCCAGGATTCAAGGGGGACCATATGTGCTAGGCTAAGCCAATGGCCAGTCCATTGTGCTGCCCACAGTCATTGACTCAGGGAGGAGCATGTGTTTCAGGTCAGGCCAATCTGGATCAGAGAAACTCAGTTCCAAGGCTCTGGTTTGGGTATCAGGGAAGCAATCTCTTTTTATTCCTAAACTGAGCAGTGTGATGATGAGGGCTGGAAGCTTCTTGGAATCATCCTAAGAATTATGAGAATGGAGCCAACCCACAGTACACTGAGCTGAGACGTGGAAGACCATTGGAGGCCTCTCAGCTTATGGGAGCTTATACATTGCCTTTGTTAGGATACTGTGGGTGTGGTTTTCAGTCATATGCAACTGAAAGGATCTCAAATGAAACAGAAAGTTACTCAAAGACAATCCACATCTCTTGAGCTTGCTTTAATTTCTTACTAAGAACTTCAGTCCTTTATGCCTTCATTCTCTGAAAATGATCTTGCAAAAGATACACAATGAGATTTCTTTTCCACCATGTACTCCTTAGCGTCTACACATTTCATTTTTTGTCCTGAGAATGAGCTTGATGGAGGACCATATAAGTATGGCATTCAGAGGAACCGGAAAAAGAGGCCTCTCCAAAGAGGAGAACAAAGCACACCATAGCTATCTATGAGCATCAAAATCTAGCAAACTTCACTTACTTTGCAGTTTACTTTTGTAAAATGAGAAATCTTTAAGCAACAATTTTCCTCCATTTATGGCCAGAAAGTCACCACACGTGTTGCCAATACTGTTTCATTAAACAGAAAGCAATGATGTTGGACTGACTTTACTACGGACTAATTACAGCATTGGTCAGTAAACCTCTTTGTTCTCTACCGAAACAGTCTCAAAAAAGGGGGAAATATTCAAAATTACATTTGAACACAATTAGACATTTTGGTTCAAGCCATGTGCAAACATCAACAATGGGTTTCTGTCAATAAGCACATGAAAAGATCCACAACAACATCCGTCATTAGAGAAACGCAAATCAAAACTACAGTGAGATACTACTTCTCACCGACCAGTATGGTGCAAATGAAAAAGACAGACAATAATTAAGTGTGGGGAAGAATGCGGAGAAACTGGGTCCTGTATGCATTACAGGTGGGAATGTAAAATGGAGCCGCCACTTTAGAAAACGCTTTGGCGCTTCCTCGAAATGCTAAATGTAGAGTTATATGACTCAGCCATTCCATGCCTAGGTATATACTCTAAGGAATTAAAAACATACATTAACACAAAACTTGTACTTGAATGTTCATAGCAGCACTATTCATAGAGACAAAAGGTTGGAACAACCTAAAAGTTCATCAACTGAAGAATGGATAGCAATGAAAAGAAATGAAGTACTGATACATGCTACAACATGGATGAACCTTGAAAACATTCTGCCAAGTAAAATAAGCCAGCCACAAAAGACCACATACTGTATGAGTCCATTTACATGAAATGTCTGGAATAGGCAAATCCATAGAGACAGAAAGTAGATTAGTGGTTGCCTGGGGACAGGAAAGGAGAATCAGAGCTAATGTGGATGAGTTTCTTTCCGTGATGTTGAAAGTGTTCTCAGATTGTGGAGAGAGTTGCACAACTGTGAGTATAGTAACCACTGAACTGTGCATTTTTATGTGTGAGTTTTATGTTGTGTGAAATATATCTCAATAAAGCTGTAAAAAACGTAGGCTTTTATGAGATTATCATGATAACTGATGATACTTGCACAGGAGAAATACTAAGCATGGTAACAGCCCAAGAGTTAAGCTGGAGACATTAGGAAATCTTAAGAAACTTAAATGAAAAGACATCTGACTCTTAGAGAGAACATCAGAATTGAGGACTCTGGAAGTGTTCAGATATACAAGAAGACGATAATTTTGTATGTCTTTTTTTAAAGCTAGGCAGGTAGGAATCAACTTTGAAGAAAGCCTAAATACACAGCGTTTGGTATCACAGTGTTTTTTAAGTAAGTGATATATATTTAACAAACTTCAAGAAGCAAACCAAACAAGTATATAACAAGATAAATAGAATAGATCCTTTAAATTTCTCTGTGTTCCACAAGCAGTTCAGTTGTGCTACTAAAGGTTGTGATAGAAAATAAAATTACTTTTGACTAATATATTAATTTGTAATTATGTTAGAGTAAAATGATTATATTAAGACCACACATCTAATTCAACAGATATTAAATTGGTAAAGAGGAAAATATCTTTAGAATTTTAGAACAACATGGCATAAAATACATTCCCTAAATGAAAAATAAATAGGACTCCCATTTGGGATAATTTTATTACTATTTAATATATTTATATAGGTAGATATTATCTTTATGTTAAAGACATCAGAGGTTGTCTTCCACACACACACACAAATTCCTTACCCTAACTTAAACTTTGGTGTATTAGCCATGAGGACATGGTTATGCCTGTGTGTGTGGAGTGTGAATGCCTGTATAGTGTGTGTGTGTGTGTGTGTGCGTGCGTGTGTATAACTTGATCTTCCAAGAAAAAGTGGAACTTTAAAATTAACACACTTTAACAAGATAAAGTGGACTTGTTGAGACTACTGAAAGTTAGTACAGAATTCACCTAAAATATGACCAAATAACATCCAAAAAATGAACACTTTGTTTGGATTCACTTAGAAATTGGAGATAATAATAAGGAGTGAGTACGTTCAGATAAGGGTAAAGCTGTTGGAGAAATGGAGGAAAAAATGAAAGGCAAATTACCACTATGTTCTTGCCTCTCAGCCATCTATCTCTTCTCAGAGGAATCCTGAAACTGAAAGACTATAGGTCTGACCTCTAATAACCTGATTCTGGAATCGCCTGCAACCATAAGGACAATAAAATAATAAATGATGATGGTAGGAGTCAAGAAAATACCCTTATTGGCTTTTTTTGTGTCATAATCTGAGAGATGTACAACATACCACTAGATACTCAGGGGACACACCTGTGATCCAACCATGTCCACTAGCCAGGGACGTCATATTGTTTTTACGGCTGCTCATGGCTGATGCTTACGTCTTCACAGGCCTGTAAAATGAGCATCCAATAATAATGGAAGCAGATGATAAACAGAATCATAGGACAAAAGAGAACCCAAAGTGTCTAAGTGCACAATAAAACACAGCTTGCACCTGACCCCAAAGCAGAGGTGAGAGTCCTTTGCAATCACTATAGGGAAGACTAGCGCTGGCTTGTTAACTCAGCAGGGCTATCCCTGTACCTTTAAGAGGCTTCTCCATAAAGTAATATTTTTTAAATCTCCCTCTCATCTTTTTATCTAAATATTTTTCTAAATTATAATTTCATATTAGAAAGCACTAGATTATTTCTCGCATCTTACCAGATTGTAAAAAGAGCCAGAAAAAAAGATTGGCAGGAAAGACCACTGGTCTCTCTTCCATTGGAAACAGAAGCCAAGTTAATTATTTCCACCTCCCTTGTCTTCTGGAGCAACGTAAACGAATCTTGTCTGACAGTCAAGTGTTTCTAATGCAATTGCTATCCTTCCTCTCAAGAGGATATTTTACTCTTCTAACATAAAATAGCAGGACTTTAATTCCCTTCACCACATGAGGCACTTTATAGTCTATCTCATCTAGCCTCCCTGTGTTTGCCAAGGAAGATAAAAACTATTTTTATTTTATGGATGAGAAAAAAGTGGGGATTCTTGAAAACCAGTAAGTGACCTTTCCAAGATGTAAATCAGTGATGGAAGTAAGAGTAAAAGCTCAGTTCCACACTGTGTAGGCCCGTGGGCTTCTAAGCCAGTCTTCTCAAACTCTAACAGGCAAACAATCATCTAGAGATCTTGTTAAAATGCAGATTCTGACTCAGTCCGTCTGGGATAGTGCTGACATTCTAAACTTTTAACAAGCTCCTAGGTGATGCCAGAACTGCTGAGTCGCAAGGCTAGCAAACTTTCCCCAAACTTAAGTCAACAATCCAATGATTTAGACTCAAGAGAGGAATGGTGTTGTTGATTTTTTA